TGTGATGACCCGGGCTGTGGCACAAAGGCAACACAGTCACATAAGTAAGAAGAGTCCCTTTAATACTTCCAACTTTAGCCCCAATGTCCAGGTTACCTTCGGCTGGAGAAAAAACTCTCCCAAGAACAGTCTTTAAGAGGAAATTCAGTCCAAAAACAAAGTACACACAAACTGTAAATAAAAATCCACACAAACCATGCTACAGTAATTAACTTGACAGGGCAGGATAAGGAATTGCAGACTTGAAAGGCCAACAAAACACAGAGTTGGGAAGACGCCAGGAACCCAGATAAGCCTCGACAATAACAGATAACTCACAATTTGCTTCCAACAGTTTGCTGCGCGCAATTTCCCTTTTTAAGCACTGTGTTCCCAGCCTGCAGCTAATGAAGGGAATCAGGGCCCTTTCCTCCCCATAAGTCACACAACTCACGTTGCTCCCTTCTCTGTTCCTCCCTACATGCCCTAGGATGAGGTGGGGGTGGGCCTGGGTCTTCCTCTGAATTCCCTTTCCCCTGCTCTGCCCAGCTGAACTTTGCCCTTCCCCAGTTTCTTCCACAGCCACCAGAGCCACACTCCCACTCCCTGTCAGCTGTTTCAGCCTCCCCCTCTGAATCAGATTCTGACAGGGGCATGACAACTGGAATACTGCTATCATGCCTCCCCCCCCCTCCTTCTTTTCATTTCTGGTGTTTATTTGGAACTTAGTGCTTATAAACATAGATTGTAGAAGTTTGATGGATTAGATTTGAGTAACCTGTTCAAATGATTTTTTGTTTGGGGGTGGTGGTGTTATTTTTCAGTAAATGGGTTCTCTGGAATAGTGTGACTTCACAACAGGGTCTCTGATTACATTCTGATGATTCCTCAAATGCAGACTTCATTTTAAAAAAAAATATGTACCTGCTTATGAACATGATTCAATCTATTTACATTATTTTCTTTGACTCACATTCCAGGAAATAAATTTTCCTTTTCTTTTTTTTTTCTTTTTCTTTTTAAAACAAGAATCAAGGAAAACCACAGGACTGTATTTATCTTTGACTCTACATCAAACATTTTCATCTTGGAGCAGTTGCTCGAAACAGCTAGCAGAAAAAAAAGTAACCTGTGTCTGAACTTTTGTTTTGGGTTTCTTTTTGTCGTGGGTTTTCTCTCTCTCTCTTTAACTTCTTTTTTTCTTTCCCATAGGCAAAAGTTGTTTCATTTTAATTTTCTTCCTTCTTGAACTAGGGTGTTTTGCTTCTCATCCAAGAAGCTTCTTCAGCTCTAAAAAAGCTTCTTGGAAAAAGCTTCTTGGATGAGAAGCAAAACCTCGTCAAAGAAAAAAAAAGGTCCAGCTGCCTCTTGAAAAAGCACTTTTGGGACATCAGATAAAGAAGCCATCATGTCTCCCAAGATGATCAGCAAAATACTGGGGATGTAAAAATATCTTATGGGGGGCTTTTATCCACTATGATTATCATCTCTTTGATAGTAACTGTATTGCACATGTTTCCCCAAACTGTATCACCTAGTACCATGATAGCAAACCTATGGCATGCGAGCTGCAGGCAAAATTAACCTCACTGCACATGTGCGTGCCTCACAGCTGATTTTCGGCTGGTTTGAGGCCTTTTTCGGCTTCCCAGAGGCTTTAGCAAGGCTTCTGCAGGCTTTTCAGGTTGAAAACTAGGCCTTTTTCATCACTTCCTGTTTTTCCGGAAATACCAGAAATGATGAAACGGGCCTAGTTTTCGGCCTGAAAATCCTGCAGAAGCCTTCCTAAAGCCTCTGGGAGGTGAAAAAGGCCTCAAACTGGTTGAAAATCAGCTGTGAGGCACAGTGCAGGGGGCGGTGGGGTGGGTGGGGATTGTGTGCACATGCATAGGGGTCATGGGGAGGGGCACATTGCCTTTTGGGTGCTGGCACGTGAGCACGAGCATGCAAGCGCGCACACAATTTTTGGCACAGGAGCCCAAAATGGTTAGCCATCACTGACCTAGTAGCTTGAATATTTCTTATGGTGGCAGTTACTTCAGTTACCTAATGTTCTGCAGATAATTTCTTTGTCCTGAATCTTGCAGGCCGAATGTCTCAGGAAAAAGTAAAGGATCTCTGTATAGAAATTGTCTAATAGATCCGTCCATAATTCAATACCTTTGAAAATAATCAGTTTCAGACTTTTTTCTTCCTGCAGTATATAAACACTCCAACTGATCATATTGGATAAACTCTCTAGTTTAGTTTAGTTTAGTTTAGTTTAGTTTAGTTTAGTTTAGTTTAGTTTAGTTTAGTTTAGTTTAGTTTATTGTCGTTGCTCCTTGTACAATGAAATTAAATACCATCTTCAGTGTACATTATGACTATGAAAATAAACACAAACACACATCCTTCACATTCTGTACATTGAATTGAAAACCCCTGATATTGCATTAATATGGCACTATACAGTAGAATTCAAAAGAGCTACTGCCCTGGGATAGAAGCTGTTTTTCAGCCAATTTGTCCTTGTTTTTATTATTCTGTACCGTCTGCCAGATGGTAATATTTCAAAAAAAAAGGGGTGCCCAGGATGAGATGGATCTTTAATAAGAATGTTTTGAACTTTCTTAAGGCAGCAGGAGCTATAAACTCTTCCAAAGAGGGCTCTAATGACTCTTTCCAGCTAGCCAGCCCTTCTGTAACAGCATCTGCAATAGAAGGTTTTTAGCAATGATCTGAGGTGCCTCCATATCTTTGCACGTTGTCCCTTCATCCGTTGTTGGTTTTCCTTGTTTTTGAGAGATGAGAGACCATGAGATGGTTGGAAGGAGAAAGGAAGAAGAAAAGAAAGTGCAAGCTACATGGACATTCTTAATCTCTAATTTCTATATTGAGTAGGAACATGGAGGTGTGAAGAAGCAGAAAGTCCCACAAGTTGAACAGATAACCTCTGGCAAATGATTTCCAGAGTCCTGTTTGGCTCCCCTGCTAATGAATTTGAGCAAATTCATTCCTTCTCAGAATCATTGTTTGGCCTTCAACTGCATCCTTCCAACTCCACTGCAAATTTCCAATGCTGTGATTATTATTCCCAGCTCAGTACATTTATTTCTTGCCATTCACCCAGTTTTCCTTGCTCCTTGATGATCAGAACATAGAATTATCCATGTAACCTGGCATTTCCTGTCCAGGTCTACATTTTCCGATATTCATAGCTTGATTATTTGGAGCCTGAATCTCTAACATGGCACCTTGTAAATTGGTGTGGTGCACAAAACTACTTTAAAAATTGTGAGTTTCTTGGGAAGAAGGAAAATAACAAGCTGGAAGAGAAAGCATCCACTACCTGCTTCACCTCGATGTCCAAAAATGCACCAGGAGATGTCTGATCAACTTGGGCTTTGGCTATATCTTCTATTTTAGGGAAATGCCCATAACATTTTGAATACTGTCCCCAAAAGCTGAGCAGGGAACCTCCACAAAATAATTTATAATGTAATAGAAATCTATTTTTTGCAGCTTGAAATTATGATTGATGAATTTATGAACCTTCGAAGGTTGGGAACTTCAGTAGGTTCAGAAGAGAGCTGCCAAAATTTTGAGTGGGTCTAGACCACAGGTGTCAAACTTGTCATGTCACATTGCCATCGTGTTAGGAATATAAGTCACCTAACAGGTATTTGGGTTAGAAATATATAAACCAGGATAAACATTTTAAAACTGTATCTTTAAGAAAATGCAAAACTGTAATTAGGTGTGGTTTCTCAAACGGCCATAAGATGGAGCCAGAAACCTGGTTTGTCTTAGCCTTAGTCTCAGAAGAGAGTGTGAGTAAGTCTCTGTTTCCTTCTGTTGGAAAGTATTGCCGTTCTTCCATTTCTTCTAATTGACTGATATTTCTGGATTTGATGTAAGTCTGATACTGAACTCTTTTATTTGACACTGGACTTTGTTATTGAATTATCCCTGGATTGAAAAAACTGACTGATCTTCCTGTGAATGATTTTGGATTGCTTGTTTGGACTTTGCTTAACGTTTCTGGAAGTAAAAACCTACATTTACTGTACAGTGTATCTGTGTGCTGTATGTGTATTATTCAAACACTACTCTCAAATACGTCTCCCTGTATGCGCTCATTCTCCTAACGGGGAATTACCTCAACACATCGCGTGATATTTCACGATGTTTTTTCCCCTTCGCGGAGCTGGAGTGGGCGTGGCCTGTTTTGTGACGCATCCGATCCGCAGGCTGCCAGTTTGATGCCTCTGGTCTAGAGGAGTCTCACTGGATATTGTTTTGTTTTAAGGTTTATTCTGACTCATTTGGGGCCCGCAGAAGAATATGCAGCCATGGGGCTGTTTAGAGCCCTTGAAACCGCTCCCCTCCTTTTGGAAATTTAAATCATTTTATTCCTGTTTTTTTAGTTATTTTTTTTAATAACTAAAGCTTTAAAGCTTTTTGTATAAAGCTTTGTTGTTTTTATTTGTACACCATCCAGATTAACTTTCTGAAGAAGACGGGTGATTTCTAAATATAAATGATAAATACATTTCAAAATCTCTGTGTCTGTCCTTGGCCAAATTTCCCCAAAAGATTCTGTTTCAAAACTCCTTCCTTCTGCTGTTACCTAAATCATGATGGCCTTCTTAAGGATGGCAGGCAGTCTGAGAAACAGTTCCTTGAGGAAACTGCGCACATCAAGGACTCTATGGTGCTTTTCAAGTTTATTCTATGTAATAGACAAAGACATCTCAGATCAAGCCACAATGACTTGAAGCACTTCCTGTTGTCATCAGCCTGATGATACCATGACATAACATGTTATTGTCACTTCCCCCACTGCCATCCCAGCAGATATCCATGAATAAAACCTTTGAATAAACTTTGAAGATCACAAGGGTTGGTTTTACTTGTTATCTGCTTTTATATAAATGTAATCTCTCTTCCCTTCCCTTCCCTCCCCTCCCCACCTCTTCCCTTCCCTTCCCATTTCCCTCTCCCTTCCCCTTCCCTCCTTCCTGCCTTCTTTCCTTTAGCATCAAAGGCTGCTTGATATGTTGGAAGAAGAGCGGAAAACCTTAGAAGAAAAAAACAAAGAATCCTTGTTGCTACAGTCACAGGAATACAAGGTACTTGTCCATATCTAAGGGCCACAGCTCTTATACTATTTTTTTTAAAAAAGAGATGTCATTGAGAACCAGGAAGAATTTTTCAGAGGTTAAACTATATTTTCTTTCACAAAGGTGCAACATCTAAGCAGAAGGTCTTGAGACGTGAGGAGGGTTCAAGGACAAAAGTAGATTTCCTTAAAGTGGGTTTATCTAAGACAGAGGAAGGGAACTCCGGCCCTTTTATGACCTGTGGACTTCAACTCCCAGAATTCCTGAGCCGGCAAGGAATTCTGGGAGTTGAAGTCCACAAAAGGGCCATGGTTCCTCACCCCTGATCTATGAGAAGAAATAGACCTGCAGTTGTAACAGCTAATATGGTGCAATTTATTTCCACCATTAAGAAGTTTTTGCACCTTTATATTTCATTCCCTTTTTCCTTCATTTTGGTTTTCTTTTTAAGAACAGAGTTTGTATATCCTTCCCTGCAGGATAATCTCACCTTGTCCATCATAATTTAGTTAAATAATCTTTAATTAATATTAATTATTTTTAGGCTGCCTTTCAGGGCAAAGAGCCTCCTAAAAATTGCTTACATATCTAGAATTGGGGTAAAAAGTGAATAAGTGTTACCGCGAATATTTATTGTGGTCTCGCTTCACTTCTTGTGGACCTGAAAATAATATTCTGTGGCTGGACACCTGGTTGTATTATTCATCCATATAAAATTGTGAAACGGAATCCAGAATATTTTCTAGAGGAACATTTTCTAGTTCTGGCTTGTCAAGGGCAGGGAACAAACTTCATTTTCCTACTCTGATTCATCACTGAACTACAAACGAGTCCCATCTCTCTCTTTCTCACTTCAGCTGACTTCAGAGTTGAACATCATTAGATACCGACTCCAAATTCTGTTCCAGCCGCTGGCTGGCCAGCTGTGGTCTTTCCAGATAGCATAATCTGGAAGGAATTGGAGTGCCGTCTTAAGAAGGCTTAGATGTTCTAGAAAGAAAAAAGTGAACTAAAATTCTTTTGGAAGATGAAATATTTCTGAGAGAAACGAGGTGATGAACGAATGATGAAATGGGTGTCGCAACACTGACTCTGCCTCGTTTGTGGTTGTGGTGTTGGGTCACGTGATGCTACAAGGCTCTTTTCATCCTTCTAACAAAGCCTCTGGCTTCTGTGGACACCCATGCTTTGGAAAGTATTTTTATAGGCTATAATGCTTTCTACTGTGCTTTGTTTCCAGGACATGTTGGAAAAATGCATGGAGAATGAAAGGGAACGTAATGAGGAGGCTTTGACTACAGCTGCACAGGTATCTTAGTATGCAAACATTGTCCCTAGGGGAACCTTTTGAAGCTCCCTTTGATGTTGCTGCTTCAAGGAGGAGAAGATGGAACTGCACCAAGTAAATACCTGGAATCTGGAGTTCTTTTAATGAGAGGAATTTTTTATTGTTCTCCTGGGCTTGTGTTCTTCTTGATACCCATTCTCAAACCATATTAGAACTAAAAGCGGCCAAAAAAGCCAATTCAATCCTAAGTTGCAGAGGGATACAATCAAGATCAAGTGAGGTACTTATATACTCTGTAAAGCCTTAGTAAGACCACACCTAGACTACTGCATCCAGTTTTGGTCACCATACTATTAAAAAGATGTTGAGACTCTAGAAAAAGTGCAGAGAAGACCAACCAGGATGATTAGGGGACTGGAGGCTAAAACATATGAAGGACGGTTACAGGAACTGGGCCTGGCTAGCCTAGTGAAGAGAAGGACCAGGGGAGACATGATAGCAGTCTTCCAATATTTGAGGGGCTGCCCCAGAGAGGAAGAAGGGGTCAAGCTATTTGCTAAAGCACCTGAAGGCCAGACAAGGAATAATGGATGGAAACTGAACAGGGAGAGATTCAACCTGGAAATAAAGAGAAACTTTCTGACAGTGAGAACAATCAACCAATGGAACAGAAGTTGCCTTCGGAAGTTGTGGGAGCTTCATCACTGGAAGCTTTCAAGAAGAGACTGGACTGCCATCTCAAAAATAGTGAAGGATTTCCTGCTTGATGAGGGATTGGACTAGATGACCTACAAGATCCCTTCCAACTCTGTTAATCTGTTAAAAGAAAAGTGCTAGAAGCAAGCGAAAACTTCTTCTGTTTCCCTTCATTCATTCTAATAAGCGCTGAGGATTTTAGATGGGGGCGGGCAGGGGTTCCACTCTGAAAAGCTTTACATGGTAGATAATTTTGAGAAGAAGGTATTTTGAGCAACCAATTCAGGTCGAGAATAGAATATAGAATTTAGACTAAAGTAGAATAGATGGGAGGGGAGAGGAGAGGAGAGGAGAGGAGAATTCTTGATTGGCCAAGTGTGATTGGACACATATAAGTCTCAGTGTACATACAAATAACAAAGTGATCAATCATAAACAGTAAAATACAACCATAAATCATAATATACAAACAACAAAGTGATATAATCATAAGATACCAATATGAGAAGGTAATAGGAAGCATGGAAAGGATAATAGCAATACAGCCCTACTACATGGATAAATATCCTTAGATATAAGACAGTGCTGTGGGAATTAGGGATTTAGCAGAGGGATGGCATGGCAGAAAAACTTTGTGTCTATATTTATTATATATACATAGAATTGAATTGAATTGAATTGAATTCTTTATTGGCCAAGTGTGATTGGACACACAAGGAATTTGTCTTCGGTGCATAGACTCTCTAATTTTTTCTAAAAGAAAAGATACATTCGTCAAGAGTCAAGAATCACCAGGTACAACACTTAATGATAGTCATAGGGTACAAATAGGGAATCAAATCATACAAAGAAACAGTCTATATAAATTGTAAGGATACAAGCAACAAAGTTACAGTCATACAGTCACAAGTGGGAGGGGATAGGTGATACGGAATGATGAGAAGGTTAATAGTAATAGTAGTGCAGACTTTGTAAAATATTGTAGTCACAACATAAGCCTAAAAATGAAAATCAGGCTTGTCAGATGCTCCATCTTGCTCTATGGAGTGGAGAGTTGGTCTCTGACAGAAATCCACTTGAAAAGACTAGAAGCATTTGAAATGTGGATTTACAGATGGCTGTTAACGTATAAGCTGGGTTGACAAAGTCAAAAATGAGGAAGTGATAAGCCGCCTGGGAAAGCCAAGGGAAACCATCAAAACCATAAAAAAGCGAAAGTTAGAATATGATGTTCTAACCAGAGAAATACAGCCTACTTCACTTAATCCTCCAAGGAAAGATTGAAGGCAAACGAAGTCCAGGCCTAAGAAGAACATTCATGGCTTCAAAATCTAAGGGGCCAGTTTGGACAAAACTCAGCAGCACTTTCTCGGGCAGCTGTTGGTAAAAATAGGATTGCCAACATGATCGCCAACATCCAATGACGGATGTGGCACAAGAAGAAGATAATCTAGTATTAATTATATTATTAATATAATATATAATTATATATATATATATTAATTTATAAATATAAATGTAATTCACAAATATATGTTCCATAATATATATTGTTTTATATATATATATATATTTATTATCTTGTGTCATTAAATTTTACTTCCTGATCCTGAGGTAACTCTCCACCACATGCCTCCTGTCTGCCTTTGGCATCCTTTCTCCTTTTATATAGGTGAGGACACAAGATGAGGGAAAACAGACCCTTTCTTATCTTGGCCTTACTGCATAATGCCCAGTAGCGGTGCTGAAAATAATATTTCCTGTCTCTGCCCTGTTATTTTGTGGCGAGGAAGAAAAGACTATCATACTGTACAGACAGAGAATATAGTTTTTATAGCCCAGTAAGTGGAACTAATCTTTGGCTGATGTTCATAATTCGTTCAATTGGTTTTTAAAGCAGAAATGTTCAGTATAAAGACCCTGTTCAGAGAACGTCTGAAAAAGTGTTTCAAAGACAGAGGGAAACTGGAAATCCAATGTTATTGAGAACAATGTTTTCAGTTTCTAAAATTACCCCAGTCTTCCGAATGAGCTTAAATAAACTTGAGGGCCTTTTCTCAAAAACAACCTTCAACATTTTAGGGATTATAGGCAACGTTTTGTGTACTGACCTAAACTGCTGAAATGCTCACATTTTAGATTCACGTTTATGCTCTTGTTATTGGATGTGCAGGTGGAAAAAGAGAAATTGCAGGCTGCCATCCTAGCAGCAGTAACAGCCGAAAGGGAAAACATGAAAAAACTGCATGACCAAGAAAAAGAATTATGGCAGGCAGAGAGAAACAAAGATCGCGAGAAGATTGCTGTAGCAGTAGAAGAAGCGGTGGAACGGCAAAAACAGAGCTCAGAAGTTAGTGCATTTTATGTTCTGGGTTATCACTCACTGTAGATCATATGTAGTGTTTCATGTTTGTTCAAATTCATGTGCAGAGGTAGGGAGGAACATAGATGGGCAAGTAAGTCTCAGAGCTGTTTGGTGCTCCTGAGCCATCCTTGTAGCTGGTTCTGTGTGGTGCCGAGACATTGAGGGAAGATTGATATCTTGGGTGCTTTGGGGTTTTGGCAGTGCGCTACGTTTCTCTGGTGCTGGAGACGGTTGGATTGGATCCATATCAGGGTGGACAGATAATGTCCTGGTTCCTATGGTTTGCTTAGGGCAGGGGTGTCAAACTCGAGGGCCGCATCAGGGCTGTGTTTGACCTCGGGAGGCCGGGGTAGGCATGGCCATGGTGGGTGTGGCCACCTTGACATCACTCGTATTGGGAGCACCTGTGGTGGCCAAGTGCTAAGGCAGGACTTCCCTCAGACCCTCCCTCCCTCCCTCATTATAATCTTCCTCCCTTCCTTCCTTCCTTCCCTTCCCTCCTCCTTTCTATTTCCTTTCCCTTTTTCCTCCCTGGCTCTCTTCCCATCTTCCCTTCTTTTTCTTTGTTTTTCCTCTTTCCCTTTCTCCTTTCCTGCTTTCCTTCTTGCATGCTCAAATGGAAAAGGGGAAACATTTCTCCTTTTGTTTTATTTTTAGTTTGTTTTGCTAGCCCTCTGCCTGTGAAAACGGAGCTCGGGGGGTGGGGGGCGCACACAGTTCTCTCAAGCTCCGGGTTTTTTTTTGATTTTTTAATTTATTTATTTCATTTATATTGCTGCCTATTCACCCATGGCGACTCGAGGCGGCTTACACAACGTAAAACCAAATTTAAAACCAAAAATAAAAATAAAAAACAGTAAAAACTAATGAAAAGAATCAAATAAATTAATAAAGTACAAAATCTGGGGGAAAAAAATCACCCCCCAACTCCCACCCCATCGCCCGGATGACAGCAGATCACACTAGCCATTTAATGGGCTCCATCCCGCTCTGGGTTCCTCAGGCCTGCTGGCAGAACCAGGTCTTCAGCGCCTTCCGGAAGAGTATTAGAGCGGGGGCCATTCTAATTCTGAGGGGAATGATATTCCATAGAGAGGGAGCCACCACAGAGAAGGCCCTTCTTCTGAGTCCCACCAGGTGTATCTCCCTTAGGGATAGGACCTGCAGCATTCCCTGCCTCCCCGCTCTGATGGGTCAGGTAGATGTGACCGGCAAGAGATGTTCCCTCAGATAACCCGGTCCCAAGCCATGAAGGGCTTTAAAGGTGACAGCCAGCACCTTGAATTACACCTTGAATTTTGCTGGCAGAGGGCTGCAGGAGACCATCGTGGGCAAAAACAGAGGCGCTTTTCGCTGGCAGAGGCACTGCGGGTCTGTCCATCACTGTTTCCAGGGTGGCCCTGCAGGCCGGATCTAACCACCCCATGGGCCCTGGCTTAGGGGGTTGAAGGAGTGATATATGGACTGTGGAACATACAGGCCAATATATAGGCTACTCCTGATTAGATCCATCCTAAGGCTCTGCTAGACTTGTGGCCGGAAATATTTGCCACACATATAGATGTCTTGGTATTGAGAAGCTGTAAGATAAACCAAGATCTATAATAGGGAACTTCAAACTTTGTAGCTTTAAGACTTGTGGACTTCAATTCCCAGAATTCCTTCTCCAGCCATGTTAGTTCAAGAATTCTGGGAGTTGAAGTCCACAAGTTTGAAGACCCTTGGACTAGATTGAGAGGGGTTCCTTGATGCTCTCTGAGCTTGGTTGTTTTCTTGCAGATGTTTCATTACCCAAACTAGGTAACACCTTCAGTGCTAGTGGGGTTTATTTACAAACTGATAGCAAGCCCTACTCCCTTACTAGCACTGATGATGTTGCTACCTAGTTTAGTAATGAAATGTCTGCAAGAAAACAACCAAGCTCGGAGAGCACCAAGGAGCCCTCATTTCAACCCTAAGCTACAAATATTCCACTTTATCAGATCTAGATTTTCTGCAAAGTCTTGTGTTCATTGCTACATTTTGCTTGGAATAGGATTAGCAATATGGAATCCGAGAATATAGTTTGGTAGCAAGCCAGCTGTTCTAAATTCTTAGAACAACAGTAATAATAAAAGGATATTTCTTCTGCAATGAAAGAGCTTGAATCTCTACTGGCTGATTACCAATTGTTTATTTTATTTATTCATCAAATTTATATGGCCGCCCCTCTCATGGAAAGTGATTTTAATCCAAGGTTCCATAAGCTTGGTATAGAAGAGTAATTTGTCATGTTAGGAGATAGCCTCTTCATTTCACGTGGAAGATAAAGAGCTTAGTTCAAATAGTTGTTGAAAAGTGGCTGAAATCCTTCATTATGAAGGTTAGGACTCATACTGTCAACACTGCTGAAAGTGAACAGACCTTCTAATATTTGAAACCCTTTGAGCTTGGATGTCAACAACTCTTAGAAAGACTCCATTAATCCATGATGGATTTTTTGTAACAGTGCGGGAGAATGAAGACACTGAGAAGAGGCTGATTGAAATCCCTCTTTTGTAATTAATTGTTTATCATGAATCACAAATCGTTTATCGTGAAGTAAAACACTTTGGTTTGGAATAGAGCAAACAGAATCTCCTGCAGAAGAAGAAGGAGGAGAACTAGTGCAAAATAGCGTCCCCATTCCCGGGCCTAAAAGCAATTAAGAAAACTGTTATTTAAAGCTGTTGAGAGATTGAGAAGGACCCGGAAATTGGATTACTTCATGTCATCTGTAATAGCAGTCAGCTTGGTCTCGGTTTTATACCCAGGCAATCTGTTTTAAGGAGATCTCTGGGCAGCCACCTATCTGTACCTTCAGTGGTGGGATGCAAACCTTTTTACTTACCAGTTCTATGGATGCGCGCGTGGGTGCCTAATGTGTGCTTCGCGCACACGCGTAGAGTTCTAAAATGGGCAATTTTAAGCTTGAAAACTTACCATCAGTGCTGGTGAGTAAAACGGCTGATGCACGGCAAATCAGCTGAGCTACAAACAAAGGAAATATAGGAAGGAAAGGACAGGTGCGAGTGGACAGGGCAACTGCTGACCGGCACTACCGGATTGCTAGAACCGGTGCGAATCGGCAACATACCACCACTGCCTACCTTCATTCAAAAGAAAAGGCATTGAGGCTGTTCCACTACCTCTTTCAAGAAAAGAAGAACCACGTGCTCACTTTAAGAATACTTTTCCCATCTATTTGATCTAGGCTCCTATCACCTGTCTCAGACTTTCACCAACCAGGAAGGGCAGAGATCCAATTCTCGGGAAACCAAGGTGGAATCACCTGGAACCCTCTCTGTATGTCAGGATCAACAGATCCAAACTCACTTGCTACAATTAAACATGCTTGTTATTGGTAGCCGACGGTTGCTGTTAAAAAGTTGGACATTTGCAACGGCAAACATATAAAATCATATCAACTCTTAAAACTTCTGCATCAACTTTTCCCTATTGAAACAAAAAAAAAAATCCACCTTACTTTCTCTAAAGATATAATAATCCCTTTTACCTCCTCTCTGTTTCAAAGTATTTCTTGCAGGACTATCAGATTCTGTAGTTTTTCTCACCATAAACATGGATACCTCCGAACTAGATTGTGTTGTTTCTCTGTGTCTTATTATATGTGGGTATTTATTTATTTGTTTGTTTGTTTGTTTGTTTGTTTATCTTGTCATGTTTATGTAGTGAAAAATTAGAGGTGGTAAGCTGTGCACAACAAAATTTAATTTTTAATGTATGCCAGAGTCCACATTCAAACTGACAAAGCTATTCTATTCTATTCTATTCTATTCTACTCTATTCTATTCTATTCTAATAATTTGCTAGCTATTTTATGAAACTGAAAATACTCTTTTGGGAGAAATAAAGACAACAAAGATGAATTATATTAGATTGCCACAGGGCAGAGGATAGGGTAGGGTAGGATAAGATAGAATAGGGCTGGAAGGGACCTTGGAGGTCTTCTAGTCCAGCCCCCTGCTCAAGCAAGAGAACCTATACCAGTGATGGCTAACCTTTTCGTCGTCGCATGCCAAAAGTGTGCATGCGTACGTGCCTGTACCCATAATGCAGTGCGTGAGTGACCTCCTTCCCCCTGTACATGTGCATGCGACACCCCCTGCGCACACGCGCACCACGCACGTGCGGCAGATTCCCGACAATCAGCTGACTGTTGGGAGGCGCCTGCACATGTGCAGTGCATCTCTTCTGCGTGCCACTTCTGGCATGCGTACCATAGGTTTGCCATCACAGACCTATACCATTTTAGGTAATTGACTGTCTAGTAGTCTCTTCTTGAAAACCTCCAGTGATGGAGATGAAAGGGTAAGATTTTGGAGAGCGGTATCTGCAGCAGCAGAACAGTTTAAGTAAATCCCAAAGTCTGTTTGTTTCTTGTGCTGCAATTACCATTTTGAAACATATGTTATCCAGGTGGCTCAGCGCAAATGATAAAATGAAGCCGACCTTATTCGAAGGAAAGCCTTTGATAGTCTCCTTGGTGTCTCTGGAATGCAATAAAGTTGAAAGAAAACTTCACTTCCTAAAATAAGACGCGTCCTGATTGCAACAATATGATGGCCTTTCCTTCTACGGTTTCATGATTTTTATACCAGATACAGAAAAAAATGGCCTGTTTCCTGCTGTGCAGTCAGGATGGGTGATGTTCTACTGTTTTGATTCTATTTTTAGCACCTTGCTTAAGATTCCACACCGACCTTTTAAATGCAAAGGCCAATATTTGGCACTGCTGGAATAAATCCTTTTGTGTGGTGGATTCTTCCTTCAACTGGATTGTTTTTAATTCAAACCATTTGTTGCTCTGCTCCTTGGAAAGGATACAGTGGAGCACCCAAGAACTATAATTCCCCCTTTCTTATTGTTTGTATATATTCAATGTTTACTCCATCTGTACGGTATAAAATTACATAAGATGCAGATGTTTTAAAACCATCTACATCCTAATTCAGCAAGAAAAACAATACTCCCTAAAAAAAGAAAGTAAATTGGCAGTTATTCTTAGACCGGGTGCAATTTCTCAGAAAATATAAACTGGGATTGTTTTTATAACTTACTTTTTGAAGAGGAAGGATCTATAAGCGCTCCCAAGTAATACATCCAAATGGAAGCAGATGGGGGAAATGAACGAAGAAAGCAACAAATTGAAAGTATCTTAAAAATACAGGTCGTCCTCAAGTTACGATTGCAATTGAGCCCAAAATGTGTGTTGCTAAGCGAAACAGTTGTTAAGTGGATCTCGTCCCATTTTGCAACCTTTCTTGCAATCGTTGTTAAGTGAATCACTGCAGTTGTTCATTTAATAACATGATTGTTAAGTGACTTCCTCTTTGATTTAGCTCACCAGAAGGTTGCTGTCATGCCCCAGTTGGAATCTGATTTTGAGGGAGAGGTGGAACAGCTGACAGGGAGTGGGAGTGTGACTCTGGTGGCTGTGGAGGAAACTGGGGAAGGGCACAGGCCGACTGGGCATTCAGAAGAAGACTCAGGCCCACCCACTCTTCATCCTAGGGCATGCAGGGAGGAATGGAGAAGGGAGCAACGTGGTTTATGGGGGAGGAAAGGGTCCTGATCCCCTTCATGGGCTGCAGCTGGCAAGACTGTTTAAAAGGGCAAACTGCACATGGCAAAGTTGCTGGAAGCAAAGCGTGTATTTTCTTTGTTGAGGCTTACCTGGGTTTTGGCGTCCTCCCAACATTGCGTGCTGCATTATCCTTTGAAAGTCTGCAATTTATCATCCTGGCCGGCTGTGTTAATGATTTCAGTGTGGTTTGTGTTGGTTTTTTATTTCTAATTATCTTTGCTTTGGGTTCAGACTGCATTTCTGCCCTTTGTAGACTTTTTTTTTTTTTTGAAGAGTTTGATATCCAGCCGAGGATAATTGGACATTGGGGGCCCAGTTGGAGGCATTAAAGGGAATTTATTCTACTTTTGTGATTTAGTTATTTTTGTGTCATGCCCCGGGTCATCACAGTTGCAAAAGTTGATCACATGGTCTCAGGATGCAACCGTCATAAATATGAATCAGTTGCCAAGCCTCTGAATTTTGATTACGTGACCATGGGGATGCTGCAATGGGCATAAGTGTGAAAAACGGTCATAAGTCACCTGTTTTTCCTTGCCATTGGAACTTTGAACGGGCACTAAACAAACTGCTGTAGGTCAGGGACTGCCTCTACATCCTTTTTCTTCTTCTGGTCACTAATGGAAGGATGTGGAGCAATTTCCCCAGAATATCTTGGTGCCATTACATATAGCCTTCAACTTACAACCTGTTATGCCGGTGTCAGAATCTGATTCGGAGGGGGAAGCTGAGCAGCTGACAGGGAGTGGGAGTGTGGCTCCGTTCACTGTGGAGGAAACTGGGGAAGGGCAAAATCCGGCTGGGCAGAGCAGGGGAGAGGTAGAGCAGGGGAGAGGTAGAGCAAGGGAGAGGTAGAGCAAGGGAGAGGGAATTCAGAGGAAGACCCAGGACCACCCCCTCTTCATCCTAGGGCATGCAGGGAGGAACGGAGAAGGGAGCAATGTGAGTTGCATGGCTTATGGGGGAGGAAAGGGCCCTGATTACCTTCTTTAACTGCAGCTGGGCACACAGTGTTTTAAAAGGGAAGCTGCACGCAGCAAATGGTTGGGACCAAATTGTGAATTTATCTGGTATCATCGTGGCTTATCTGTGTTCCCGGCATCTTCCCAGCTGTGTGAGTATTGCTGTGCTTTCAAGTCTGAAGGTCTTTCTCCTGTCCTGTCAATTTAATTATTGCAGCTTTGTTTGTTTGGATTTTTAGTTACAGTTTGTATGTACCTTGTTTTGGACTGACTTTTCTGCAGTCAAAGGCTGTTCCTGGGAGAGTTTTTCTCCAGCCAAAGGTAACCTGAACATTGGGGGCAAAGTTGGAGATAATAAAGGGACTCTTCTTGCTTATTTGACTGTACTGCTTTTGTGCCACTCCCCAGGTCATCACATAGCCCTGTGCTGAAGGAGGTAATCATGGGGTGGAGAAAAATTGAGGTGGGCTGTGTGGTGCTTAAAATGTTGAAGCAAAATAAGTACATTATTATCCTAACTACTCTGTCTCTCTGTCTCTGTCTCTCTCTCTCTGTGTTAAAATACTAGGAAATGGTGAAAGCAGCAATCCTACAGGAACAAAAGAAAAGTGAGAGAGCTGTAGAAGAAGCGGTGAAGCAAACGAGGGAAGAACTGATGGAATACATCAAGGAGCAGAAAAGAGTAAGTGGCAGCTTGAAGACAAGAGTGGTCCAATTTTGGAGCTGGAGTGAAATTATGTGCTGAGTTAGCTCAAAACTTGCTTAGAATTGCTGGATGGCTTGGTTGGGTAGGTTTCCTAGCATCCTTTGAATTATAGGCCACGCATTGATCGGAAGCAAGGAAGCACAGATATGAAATACTGTGCTAGCATGTCGAGTTTCATCAAGTTGACATTTCCAACAGAATCAAAGCTTGTATCCTCCATGCTTCCATTCAGCTTCCTGCTTATATAGGTAGTCCTTGACTTAAAACAGTTCACTTAGTGACCATTCAAACTTACAATGGCACTGAAAAAAAAGTGACTTATGACTGTTTTTCATACTTACGACCTTTGTAACATTCCCCATGATCCTGCGATCAAAATTCAGATGCTTGGCGACTCTGCTCATACTTATGACTGTTTCTGTGTCCCAAGGTCATGTGATCTTCTTTTTGCAACCCTTTGATGAGCAAAATCATTGGGGGAAGCCAGATTCACTTAACCAAACTTAACTAAGCGGTAATTCGCTTAACAATTGTGGCAAGAAAGGTTGTAAAACGGGGCAAAACTCGCTTAACAAATATCTCGCTTAACAACAGAAATGGTGCACTCACTCATGGTCACACGTCAAGGACTACCTGTACTTCGGTGCTCATTGTTAATTAATTCCAGGAGGTGTGATGAGTACCCAAAATTTTGAGTACCAAACAAATTTTTCCCATAAGGAATAGTGAGGCAACTGACACCCAATAAGTTCTAGCTTGTATGTTGAGTAACAAACGAATGATGAGTAATGGGGCAAAATGTTCACGTCAAGATTCATCCAGTACCAAATTCAATGAGTTTCAAAGCAGTTGAGTACCAAGGTCCTACTGTATCTCCATGGATTGTTTTGCCAAGTTGGTAAAAGGATATTAGCGAATACCTTACTACGGAGTCATAAACAGCATTTATTACAATAGCAAGAAGTGTCTCATCAAATGATCTTTGCAACCCTATAAACCAGATTGATGCTTCTGTAGTTTCTTTGAAATTACATTCATCTCCTGCCATGTCATTCATCTTATTTAAATGATGCTTTGAACCTTAAGTGGTAACAGTTGCTTAAAATTTGGAGGGATAGAATAAACTAGTTTCCTAGCTTGGGCATTTCGTACTATAATTCTCAAGCCACAAATTCAATTGGAGAACATCTCCCCCTGCCTCTTTGGTTGGGGATTATCATAATTTTGAATGGTTATAATAGGAAATGTGTGACATAAATATAGGTCAATTTCATGAAGCTGTCTGCGAACATTGATAGAATGCAAGGAGAACTAATTTTGGGTGGACGGAGAGTCAAATGGGTGAAACTAATTTTTGCACATGTGAGCAAGACAAACTGTTTTAAGTAACCTGAGGGGTGGCAGTCTTGGCTGTCAACCAGTATTCTGACTAGTTGAGGGCATACCTAAAATATAGAGGTGTTCCTCACTTCATTATGGTGCCCTTATTTTTTTAGCAGATAGGACCAGAGTTGGTTTCGATGTGACTCAGAGAGTGCTATCTCTCGATTAAATGAAGTATCAGACTAACAGATGTAGCCAGTGGTGGGATTCAAAATTGTTTACTACCGGTTCTGCAGGTGTGACTTGGTGGGCATGGCATGGCTTGGTGGCCGTGGCTTGGTGGCCGTGGTAGGGGAAGGATACTGCAAAATCTCCATTCTCTCCCCACTCCTGGGAGAGGTTTACTGCAAAATTCCATTCCTTCCCCACCTGACTAACCTGCTTTCCAGCTCCATTCTCCTGTGCAGGGCAACAATGAGTAGGGGGTTGGACTAGAACAGTCTAATTTTGGTGGGCTACAGAGAAATGTCACCCGCAGAACACCCTGAAAAGCAATTAATCCAGGCTGCACAGGAACACAAGGCTGCACCGCCCACATGGCCCACGAGAACCCTCCCCGCCCACTCACTCCTTACCCGGCAAACTTGCCTGCTAAATTCCTATTTTTCCTTTTTTTCCCCAACCGTCATCTGTTCTGCTGTGCCAGGAGATTTAGATTAGCTAGGAAGCAGGAAATGGTTGGTTTTCTTGCTTTCTAGCTAGTCTTTAGATCTTCGGCTCTGCTTTTAAGCACAGCTGAATCTCCCTTAGGACTGAAGGTTCTATTATTCAGTGCAAACTCATGGCAAGCAAATTTTATGTGAAGACTCAGGTAGCCAATGGCAGATAGGTAGATCACTGAATGATTCTGTGAGCAACTCAATCTGCCTGCCTGCTTTGCCTGATTTTGGGTAAAAGTTGCTCTCTTTTTTTTTATTATAAAAAATTCAATATTTACATACATGGTGTGTTGTGAGTTAATTTTGTGAGTTTGCTTGCTAGCAAATTTTATGCGACAGACTGAGCTAGCCGATGGCAGAAAGATAGATCTCTGAATGAATCTGTGATTCTGTGAGCAACTCAATCTGCATGCCTGCTTTGCCTGCTTTTGGGTAAACGTTGCTCTTTTTTTTATAAAAAAATCCAATATTTTATATAAATATTTATAATATTTATATATAAGCCATGCCCAGCCAGTCACATGACCACCAAGCCACAGCCACAAATTAGGCCATGCCCACAGAACGAGTTAGTGGTCCCTGGGATTTAAAATTATGAGTTTGGTGGTCCCTGAGGTCCAAAAGGTTGGCGACCTCTGGACTAGAAGGCCTCCAAGGTCCCTTCTAACTCTGGTATTCTGTATTTAAAAGAAGACCCAGCCAATGAGTTGGGACTCGGGAGGCAGAGAATAGATGGGGCGGGGCCAGTCAGAGGTAGAATTTGCCGGTTCTTCTAACTACTCAAAATTTTCACTAGCGGTTCTCCAGAACTGGTCAGAACCTGCTGAATACCACCTCTGGAGGTAGCCTTTAGCAAACTGGGCCTTAATCCAAATGTATAAGGAGAACTGATATCCGAAGTATATCTGGTACATATATGTGGGTATAGGTTGCACACCGGCTAAAATGTGCCCAAGTTGGCCATTACAAGAGAAGGGCCTTCTCTACCGTGGCTCCTGCTCTTTGGAACATCTTGTCCCCTGATGTGAGGTTGGCCCCAACTTTCTCATCCTTTTGTAAGGGACTAAAGACGTGGCTCTGCCAATTGGTTTGGAGCCTCAATGGGGGAGGGGGTTGATTAACAAGAGATCCCACCTCCGTCAATGTATGCTCTGCTCCTTCCCTCTCCATCTTTTAGCTTTAGTTATAGTTGGCATTTTTATTACAATGTTATTATAGATTTTATATATTTTGTGTTTTATATGAATGTGTCAGAGGTGGGATTCAGCCGGTTCTGACCAGTTCTGGAGAACCGGTAGCGGAAATTTTGAGTAGTTCAGAGAACCGGCAAATGCCACTTCTGACTGGCCCCGCCAATCCCATCTATTCTCTGCCTCCCATTGAGTCCCAGCTGATCTGCTGGGGCTTCTTTGGTTACCCTGCACAGGAGAACGGAGCTGGAAAGCAGGTTAGTGGGGTGGGGAGGATTTTACAGTATCCTTCCCCGGTAGTAAATTTTTTTGAATCCCATCACTGGTATGCGTATATCTATCATCTATCATTTTTCTGTCTGTCCATCCATCCATCCTCCCCCTCTGTCTTATCTATTATGTGTTTGTCGTCTATCTATCTATCTATCTATCTATCTATCTATCTATCTATCTATCT